TAACAGGCAGACCGTCCACCACCGTCCATCCTTATGTTATATCATGATGTGATCGCCGTGAGGCTTCTTCCATCCTTTCGCAGTACGTGCAAAGATAGCACAGAAAGAAATCTGATGAGCAGGAATACGGCAAACGTGACCAGGTCATCGGAGGCGGTGCAAACCGATTACTAATTTTAGAGAATGACAAGCCGTACCCATCGCACGGCGAAGAACCTCATCAGTGCTCATCTGACGTTCCCATCGGACACGATCAATAGGAGGAAGACATAGATGGTCGAATACAGAACACGGATTAGCATCCTGAACATGTAGGGGTAATATCTCCCACACGTAGAGCAGAGCACAACGAACCGGGTTGGTTTACGCTTTTCCCTTAAGGGATAATTTGGATGGCATTGTAGCACCACAGGTGTCGCAGATTGGCACAAGTCGCCATTGCTTTCGCTATTCGTGACATGCTCTCTTCCCTAACACAACCACCAGCTACGATTAAGCACCTATGTACTCCAAGCCTTCACCTATTTCCAGCTGATCACAACAAAGGATAAGTGCACGCACAGGCTCAGAGCAGTCTTGAAGAAGTATTTTGTACTTGGAAGGTGCAAAGTGCATACCATACCTGGATACTTAAATCGCCAAGTGGGTTAGTTTTGGAGTGCCTGTGTATTGTCACCCAAAGGGGCGATCTCATAAGTATCTTCTAAGTGAGCAACTTTGTTCCCTGGGATGAGTTCGATTCCACTGGTTGCTAGACTGGATATAATATTCTGTAGCACATACTTTATGAAAAAATTGAACAGGAATAGAGATATAGGGCAGTCTTGTCGAATTCCACTGCACAGTGCAAGAGTAGAGGAAGCCGGACCGCCCACACACAGACTTGCATGCAACTTCCAAATATCTTGTTAAATTATCTCACCAAACTCTGGCGAAATTATCGGGAAAGAAGAGTTTGCTAAGGTGCTGCGATGGTTCCTGATTGACCGATGACAGAAAAGAAGTCTTAGAGACACCATCAAGGATATTGTAAAATGAATGAAAAATAAGGCCATCGAATAGGGTGCAGTTGGACGGACCAGAAAACTCTCGAAAATGAGCACTAAAGGAAAACGCGTATCAACAGGTTCGCAAACACACGAATTCTTAAGGAGCACTTACGGTTTACCGACGGGAGCACTGGGCACGGCAAATTGCGGCGGTTTTACAGAGTTACCGGTCTTGGTCTCTGCGACTTTTGTATCCGCCGTCCCACTGTAGCCCAGTTTGGAGTGAGGATCATTTCGAACCGGTGGATTGCTAATGGCAACTGAAATGTTTTTTGAACCGACCATTAAGCCATCGGTGGCAATTAGGGCGCGGCTGGCTTCGTCCGCATTAGAGAATTCCACATAAGCATGACCTTTAGGGACACCATTTCGATAGGTAGCCAGACGGACGCTGACTACGGTTCCGTGCTGAAATATTAATCGTGTTGTGATCAATCAGTGAGGGAGAGGAAGAAAACTGAATGAGATGGGAAAATCAATTGAGGGTAAGCTAAATAAAAGTCTATTTCGATAGAGATCCGAATCATACCAGATTCCAGTGGGTGAGGCTGGTGTCCGAGAGACTCCACAAACACTGAAGGATATGGCAGCGAACCGACAGCAGTGGCGTTTTTGTTGCGATTTCTTATCAGGCCAGAATGCTTGAAACGGTATGTATGCATAGTTCGATTGAGTACTCTGTGTCCTGATCAAAGAGGTTCACCTTCTTCTCCCTCCCTCAGAATAGGTTCAGTCCGTCTATCTTAAATATTACCACAAACCTTGTATGCATTGCGAGTTTGGCAGCGATCAAAGAAACTCGCCTTATTGTATTTAGCTGTACGATGATGATGACGATGAGTGAGGAGAACAAGAAAAGTGTGTGAAACATTGTACTCCAAAAGTCAGCTTCAAGGGGAAACAACAAAAAATCGAAATATCACATGAAATCTATCTCAAACAATTCATTCAATTCGTGCAACCTAAAAAATTATACAAATGAGGTAAGATTTATACGAACGGTTATTAGGGTGGATGAAAGCTCCTGTCGTGGAAATTGAACACATTGTTTCGAAATAATAAAAGCCAAAATGAAGGAAATGATGCCAGTCACGGCTGACTGACCTATTTCTCTTTATAAAGACTAATGTAATTTGCTTTGCAGACAGTCTGAACACAGGCATGTGTGAATATATAACACGAAGTATGCCACGACTGTTCAGCTAATTACTCTCAAAGTTGCTTGTGGAAGTTTATGAATATAAAAATTAGCTGCAAAAAAGTACACCACACTTAGAAACGAGAACTGCGACCAATCCGATATTTTTCGGCAATATGAAGGAACGTAAGTACGAAACTCCGAATCATGGCTGAAACCAAAGACCACGGATTTGCGTTTGGTTCTTTTTATTTCTAATCTTAACCAACAACAGCCTTTCCTTACGGTATTTT